CCAAGCCCAAATCAAGCGAGGATACCAAGGAGAACGCTACGCAAAACACCGGAACTTCTGCATCAAAGGATCAAAACGTTGATCCCGCGTATGATGCCTCCGCCGAACATGATGCGGACTTCGAAGACAGCGAAGCCGACAACGTCATTGTCGATGTTCCAACTGGGAGTCCCACGTCAGACCCCGAGGGCTTCATTGAGGAATATGATGAGTACGCTGTCATTGAAGATAAGATGCTGGATCAGGCGGTGTATGACTTTGAAAAGCGAGAGAAGTCACTGAGTCGATTTGGAGGTCGTAAGCATGGGACTATCGCGGAAGCTCGCGGCATTCGCATGCAAAGCGTTCAGCGTATCTATTTGCGAGATGACAAAAAGGCTGCTTATTGAGAGAGGATGGGGAGAGTTGAACGCCTATCCAAGGACAAGGCCCAGAGTGTTTGTTTAGATCAAAGGTTGGATATCTGATGAGCTCAGTTACAGGGATCCTAGCTGCTGTTGCTTCTGGCATGTTTAAGCCATTGCAAAGAATCGCATACTTGGGCAATGAATTTCTTCAACCTCGCAGGCTGAGAGCACACCTAGCCTCCGTCCCACTCATTCAAACATGTGATATCTGGCCTGCACGAATGACTCCGTTGGAATTAATTGATTCCAGTAATTACCTAAATCCAGGACTATGCTGATAGCAAGGCGTAGTCTCCCACTCCATTGCCTTTTTCACATCCTCCGCTTCAGCTCTTGACATTGACACAGCTTCCTAACCAACATCGCCTTCACAAAAACACCCAATCGACATAAGTGACATGCTTCAGTCTCAGGACTTTTACTTGGCATGCTTCTTTTGGTGGAGGGCCCTCACTTCTTCCGCAAGCCCTGGGATCGGCCCTTGAACCGGGGTGTTGGGAGCGACCTGGCTGATAGGGAGTGCCGCCACCTTCTTGCCAGCTGCAAGCCCAAATTCTTCCAGCCATGATGCATATTGTTCTGTTGACGACACATAGACAATCGGCCCTAAGCCCACCCAGGCATGTGCCGCAGCACACATGGGGCAGTGCTCCCCAGATGTGTAGACAGACGCCTTGGTTCTCTCCTCAGCGCTGAGGTTGAGTTGCGCCCATCGCGCCAGGGTGAACTCGGGATGCAGGGTTGCATCCGGCTTGCCGTCACCGTTCTCGCCGGTCTGTGTGCGGTTGCGGTCTTCGCGGATGATAGTCCCGTCAGCACCTACGAGGACGGAGCCGAATGGATCGTCCCCGGCATCCAGTGCTTCCTTAGCAAGTTCGACGCATCGCTTAAGAATTTTGTAGTCGGGAGATTGAGTCATGATGAGATTTAAGGCTGAGCTGGCCTTGATCAGGACAAAGCGTTGTAGTAGCGAGTGAATGAATGGTGGGGTAAACTCGTGATAAGATCGCAAGTCAGCATTGGGCATAAATAGATGACGTACTGAGAACGGATGAAAGTTATTGCTGGCCCACGGAAATATTTCTTCAGACATTCGTTTGGTTGGTGACTCATAACTTGAGGGGTTTTCTGTATCTTCAACTTCAATCCTGCGTCTCGAACAGCGCTCTGGTTTGAGTACGATGTAAGCGAGCTCTACACTAAGCAGACGGCGTAGAGACTTTCCCAAGTCGCCTAGTACCAGCCCGAACTAGATACTACGTGAGTCTTATTTCGCTGAAATTCAGTTTATCGCTTTCGTGATTTTCATTCAATTCTGTTTTGGAGACTGTCAAGTAAATCTAGTAGACGCAATTTACAAAGTCGACCGGTACGAATTTCACATTTGTGTTCACGGAAGCATGTGCGCGCGTGCATTGCAAACCGCATGCTAGACTATTCACAGAATCGACCAATGACCAACAAGTAAAGAGTATCACTAAATTAGTCTGGCGGCTGCAGTATCAATGTATCTCAAGCCCACTCATCCACTTCGCGGGCTCCCATGGTGTCGCACGCTCAGAGCACTGACAGTGCGCTGCATGTTTGTTCCCATATCGGAAGACGGCAGGTATTGTGGGTCGCTTAGCAGGCTGCTTCACTATGCACAAAATCTGACGGCGACAGCGATGGATATAAAAACCCTGCAACCTGAATCATGTCGGTGATATTGCCGGCAGGACCATGAGATGGGAGAAAACTACATTACAAATGTCAGTTTTCTCTTGAGACTGTACGTGGTTGAAACTGTGATGCGGTACTTACTGAGCATTAGTGGCGACGCCATCGCTAGCCAGAGATGCCAACAGCTCGTGTACTGCTGCATGATCAAAAGTCTCCAGGAAGGCCAAGTATCCATGGTCTGCGTCAAAGACAGCCGTATTACTGTCGCTGGTAGGACACGCCGGAAGGACGAGAGCGTAGCCGTGATCTTCAGCATGTACAGTCGCATCCATATCGAAGAGGGCCAACCGTATTCGGCTGTCCTTCAGAACGAGAGAGCCGCTTCGGCTTTTGCATGATTCAGCCCAGTCTTCTTCGCTCAAAGGGAAGTTGCATACCTGTAGGTTACGATCTGGTCTTGGGGCACAGTGGTGTAGTAGCTGGCTGCATGGTCAGGTACGATGAGCTTTGCGCCACTGGCGACGTAGTCCACAACACCAAAGGCGTGATCATGATGATGATGGGTGGGCTGGAGAACGTCAGTATCGAGCAGAGGATCTTGGCTTGTCTGGGAATACGAACCCAAACGTGAGTGATGTTCTTCCCGAGGCGAGCTTGAGCCCATTCGATGACGAGCTTGCTTTGGTGAGGAGGAGCATCCAGCACGATGACAGATCCGTCTTCAAGCTCCACTACGGCTTGTCGCATGGCCAAGGCCCCTTCGGGACTGATCACCCATAAGCCGGGCAGATCATCAAAAGGCCTGGAGGCTGCCGACTCGATGATCTCAGGAGTTCCTGTGTATGCTCCCCGCCAAAGGAAGTTGGCGGATGTCTCGCCAATCTCAGAAAAGTCATATTGTGCGTCCCGCACGGGCACACTAGCCTGAGGGATCGTCGCATTCCCTGGTAACGTGAATAAGTCTTCAGAGATGGCAGGATTAACCAGAATCTGATCAGCACGATAATCCGCAATGAGATGCTTTCCGTTGTAGATCGTCTTGAATCGCTGCGGGGCCTGAACGCCATCAACCTCCGTGTAGTCGTAAACAAGGAGATCGTGTGTCGAGGCACCAAAAAAGGGGTGATCTTCGTAGGAGCGGATGATGTACGGTAAATTGGTATCGGGATTGAAAAGAACCGTTAAGTTAAGTGAATCGTCATGGACTACGTATTGTCAGCTGGAAGGCCCGAGCAGCAATGAGAAAAAAAAATGATTAGCAGGACTCACCACCGTGGAGCTCAACACCGGCTTCCGAGGCCCCTGAGCGATAGGTAAACTTATTGTTAGACAGAATCTGCTAACATTAGTGAGTGCCAGCAAGTATCGCAAATCTGCCATACCGTCGAGAGAAGTAACGGTTGCCACTTATATGCCTCGCTGATCAAATACGATGCAAGAAGACCTGATGCAAAGATTCTTATTAGTTGTGCCTATGGTAATGGTATGGGGGAAAGCTTGAGTGGGCTTACCGTCTAGGTATCCCTGGGGATCTCCAGTAGGATTGTAAAGGTCGTAGCTTCCCCTAACAACAGCGGCAAAACCAGTCTCACCGCCGTTAACGATCAATGAGAAGTCCATAGGACTGAGATTGGCTCTCCCAAATGTCCATCCAGCTGTAAGATCTTAGCAAGAATTAACGGCTGACCAGATCTGAGCTCATACGTACGCCCAAGGGAGACAACCTTGTCGATGCGTTGCCTGACGTTGTTCCCATTAAAGGCAAATGTTACGTTTTGTCGCCCAGCAGTGATAGCTGCGTTATCCACTCCAGTGAGAGAAATCCCCAGCATCAGGGTCCTGGCTCGAAGAGTTCTATGCTCGTTTAACGACTGGTCAGCCATCACTGAAAGCACGCACTCAACTTACGTTTCGCCATAGTACGACAAGCTGCTTATGGAATCGATGACATCCTGGCCACCAAGGGCTTCAATCCCTCGAGCAAGAAGTGCGGCAGGATCTTCGACGCTGTCATTTTGGCGGTGGTGCAGTCGATGACCAAAAGCAAATCCGGAAAAGAGCAAGACAGTTAGTCTAAGTTGAGAAACAAACATCTTGACAGTCTCGAGGACAAGAGGCATAAGGGACGAGGCAATGGTTCGTCCAATGTCTGATGCTCTGACGAGCTTAAATACATGATGTAGAGCACCTAGCCCCTGAGTCCTTGGTCAGGAGTAAGTTGAAGACGGATTTCTAATCCCGTCTCGAATGCCAAGAAGGCTACCGTAGCTTCGGTATTCTAGCGACACCTGATTTCCAGAAGATTGTGACTATGTCGAAGGCTATGCTGGTGAACATGGCACGCTGAATGTTGGTGATTGCAAGGGTTACTAAGGCCAAGTTAATTTAAACATCTTGGATTCTTGTCCTGCCTGCTCTGGCTTGCGGGTGACTCCGGTGAATCACAGGGGTAGCTTCCGCGCGGCAGGAACTATCCAGATCAAGCTTGAACGTCGCCCAGATTCTGGCGAATAACGAATGCGGATCCAAACTTTAATCAGTTGACGTTACTTGGCCCTCCGGACATTGGACGAATTCTGGACCCGGTTCTACTGTTTCCCCTTGTTTTCAGACCGGGTTGGCCTCATGTGCTAGTTAAGTCCGGAGGCTGCGGACACAGGTGCCCACATTTAAGGCCGAGGACGCCGTAGAGATGGAGCCATGTCCGGAGATACAGATGGGTCAAGGGCCGCGTCTCATACGCCTAAGCTTTGGGCACTTATTACATGGCGTTCGCACCAGTTTACTAGCAGAGTAACGCTTAGTAATGCATCAAACTTGAATACGCATTCTTCATTGAAGCACTGGGTAAGTGCTGGGTTCTACTTTTCGTGTAAACAGATGGCTTGTCCTGCCACAAGCCAACAACCGCCCAAGACCCCGGAATATCATCTACAACAGGTATCTATAATCAGGAGACAGATCTCCCAACTCAGTCTTCTCCTCCTCTGACAACGTAGATTGTCCGGCAGCCCGATCCCTGCTCTTGTTTGCAGACCAGCATGCGATCGCGTAGATGAGACACGCAAGACCACTCAAAATGACGAAGGCAATGCAGATGCTGTATCCGGGGATGTACTTTGGTGCGTCCTTCTTCAGGAAGGCAAAGACGGCAATGATTCCACCAATGTTACCGAAGCCAACTTGCCAAGCACTGCCAATCGAGCGGCGGTGATGGCCTCCCAAGTTCATGTTGAACCAACACACAATGATGGGCATGGCTGTGTAAGAACCCATCGCCACTAGGAATAGAGACGCGTATTGTACGGAGGTGTTGTTATGCACGGAGATCAAGATCGCAAAACCAGCCATGGCGACGCAGATAGCGAAGATGGCGAAGAGGAATCGGTGGCGCGTCTTGTCAGAGATGAAGGCGATAATCATCGAGAAAACAAACGCCACAGCCCATGGAGGGACGCTGTGCAGCTGGGTCTGGATGCTGTCGTAGCCGTACGTCTGAATAATGCCAGGCGCGAAGTAGGCGTAGCCATAAGCGGGCACAATCAGGCCGAAGTACATGAAGCCTCCGACAATGACCTTATAATCTTTGAAGATGTTGCCGACATCCTTGAGGGTTGTGCTGCGCTCCACGGCGGAACGCCCCTGATCGGCGCGGAGGCGGGCCGAGACAAACGCCTTTTCGTCGTCGGTGAGCCACTTGACCTCTTCGGGGAAGTCGGGAAGCCAAAAGTAGAAGAAGAAGCTGACAATGACGGTCAACAGGCCTTCGAGGATGAAGATCCAGCGCCATCCAGCGTAGCCGCGGATGCCACTCATCTTTCCGATCGCTGCAGCGAGGAGACCGCCGAAGGCTCCTGCGAGAGTGGTGCTGTTGAAGAAGAACGAGTATCTCCTCTGCGCCTCGTGGCGCCGGTACCACATGCCGATGAGGTAGAAGGCGCCCGGAAACATGCCCGTCTCGAAGACTCCCAAAAAGAACCGGGTGGTGCAGAGTCCAGCGTAGTTTGTTACGAAGCCCTGGAGCATGGTGACGAGACCAAATCCAAACATGTTGATGCTCAACCAAACGTGCGGCTTGAACTTCTTCAGGAGGATGTTGGAGGGAATCTCCAAGAGTATGTAGGGCACGAAGAAGACGACAAGCGCATTGTTGTAGAGGGTGCCATTCAGGTTCAGTTCCGTGCTGAGGCCGAAGACGTTCGCATTGGCGATGTTCACTCGGTCTGCGAAAGCAAATGGCGATTAGCATTGGAGTTGCGATCGTGGCCGGGTGCGCGGGTGGGGAAAGTGAGCTTCTTACCGAGGAAAGCTAGCAGGTACATGACGCAGAGGAAGGGAATGACCCTCATGTCCTGACCAGGTCAGTATTCACATGGTAATGTTTCGACAGGAGGAACTCACAATCTTGCTGACGAGCTTGCTCTCAGTCGTGTGAGGGGGACACTCGACGTGCTCGTCGCCATAGCCGGGGCGGTCAAGATCCGTCGCATGCTCGAGGGAGCGCGACGGCGACTCGGCCGGCTTGTTCTCCTTGTCGTACTGCATCTTCAGGGCCGTCGACTCTAAGAAGCTGGGCTCAATTGAACTCTCTGCAACCAGTGGAGGCGCGCGCGACACACAGAACGCGGCGGATGACTGGCAAGAGACGGGTGAAGGAGCAAAAGGATGCGGCGCAAACAAGACTGACGACGATCCTGCCAGGGTCGCAGCCAGCTTTTATTTCGTCACCTACTTTTTTGGCCGTCGCAAATGACTGTGAGTCGCGCCGCCGACCTCGGGGTGAAAAGGTTCCCTGGAGGACAAGGCCGGTGATCCTCTCGTCTCCACACGACTCCAAAAAGTACGAACCAACACCACGTTGGACGTGGAGCGTGTTTGGTGTCTAGCCCGGCAGCGGTAAGGAGGGACATGGATGGGTGTCCTAAAGAGAAGTGATCATCCCCCCAAGCCTCCCGAGCCGAACCCCGCGTTTTCTGACCGTGGCGGGAGTTAATAATGCAGCACTAAGCTCGGGCTATTGCTTGTAGCTGATTAATGTCATGCAGGGCATTGGATCCAGCCAATGACTTGTGCTCGTATCCGGTGCATTGCATGCTTTTCAAGAGACATAGGAACTCTGCATAACTTGCACAAGATGTTCAGGCAGCAAGAAACATTCCAGACTCAGTGTTGGATCTGCAAATCTTAAAAGGGCTCCATTCTACCCTATTCACAACTCCACCCCGGACCCGGGTCGGACTTGGCTCTACTCCATTCCGTCCGCCGATGCAGGAACTGTGACTCTGTGAGTAATCCCTACCACAAATTCCTTTTTGCGTGGTTGGCTCTTGGGTCACGGCATGCTGCGTCGGACGGACGCCGCCGCCGCCCTCGTCTTCTGAGCAGAAAAATCCTCACCTAGGGTTTGGTCCGGTGGGATTGATAGGATGCAGGTGTGAGACAGACCGGACTTAAGCTCGAATCCGGCCGCCGGACGCCCGGATACCATCCGTTTTAGGCCTAGACTATTAGGGGACCACAGTGACTCAAACCACTGATGGTTCGTCTGGTTTTCTTACTCAGGGAGGCCACAGACACACACTTCGCTTGAGCGGCAGCTCGACTGTCAAGCCTTGACAGCTCGCTTTCTACCCCGCGAACGCCAAGCCCAGCCACGCCTGGCGATGCTCTTTTGTAGCTTGTGTGAATGGATGGCACCTGACCTCGGTTCTGAATGTCCTGCGTTGCGATTCTTGAACAAACAAATCCAAAGAAGCTGCTCAGTCGGCCTGGCCTTAGTCTCGTGTTTCGACCCTCGTATTGCGACCAATCAGGGCGTCAATTGAAGACTCCTCTCAAAGCTTGCGCGTATTTCTGTTTCGTGGAACAATTGATTTCTTTCTTGCACTATTTTCTAAAGCTGTCAAGCTGAAAGCCACCGTAATGCACTGTTGGCCAGCTGGAACCAACGGCTTTCCTTGGTAGCCAATCGCGATGCTACCAAAGGCCGTTGCTGTACTCGCAGGCGTTTTGTTTACGGTTTCTATTATCGAGAAGAAATCTGTGTACTTCGTACATATTCGAAAACAGGACGTCAATGCATAAGGTATCACCTGATGTCATTACGACGAGCGATACATCCATTCTCGAAGGAATTGATGAAAGGCTGAAAGCTGAATTAACAAAGCGAAACTTTCTCAGTTGAGGCACGAATAATTGCATGGATGTTGGCCCGCGGCATAAAATGAATTGGGGGCTCATATGATGGTTACTTCGGCATTTTCTACAATGCTATCAAATAAAACCCCATCTGCAACAGCCGGTGCTGCATTCCAGAAGACGTCTTTGGTAAAGACATAACCAGATCTCTGGTAAACATCTCCCATTGTAGGGTGCTTCCAGGAGCTCAATACCAAGCACCCGACATGGTGGCGCGGCACATGAGCCGGCGCCGAGTTTTCGACTCCGGTAGGAAATCTCATAACTGGCAGCAGTATCATCCTCCCTACTTGTTGGAGTACTCTATCAGTGGAATCCGGAAAGAGCATCATGTTTCTGCTTTTATCACCGCGACGCCCAAGATACTCACCCACTGCCACTCCCCCTCCAAGATCGCCGTAGTCTGTCCAGCAATACGTGATGAACATAGTGCCTCTCAGGCGAAGGAATCCACTCTTCACTTCAACTGTTGAGTCTGGGCCCTCCGTGGTGACATCCAAGTCAATCACTTTAACCATCCTTTCTCCGTCTAGAAGGCTGTCGCCGGAACGCGAGAAGACCGGGCCATCGACGGAAGCCCAGGACCAGGAAGGCGCTCGATATTCTGACGGGCTTGGTAAGTTTCCGTGCGTGTACCAGCACAGCTGGTTCACAATTACGGATTGCCACATGCCTGCCAGAAACCTGTCGCCGGTGGCTTGCTGGAAGAGCTTTGAAAGTCCCGAAAATGCGTAAAGCTTATCTTCGGATCTTGTAAGCTGACAACGCGAGTAAGACTCAACAGAAACCTCCCAGGCGTTGAGCAGTTCGGTCGTCATGAACCCCGTTGGGCCTGATACGAGATCTGCCAGGCTTCCCAAAGTCTTGAATCCCTTCATATGATCGGCTGGATATGGGTTGGCATCTCCTCTCGGAAACCCTTCACATCCGCTCTCTTGGAGACACTCCCACATGATTTGTTGAGGCGCGAAGTAGACGATCCGCGATGCGAAAAATCGCTCTTGATAAACCCAACCGCGGCAATGCAACGGAGACTCTGGCAAGTGATCATCCCAGTATCTCCGTCGGAAGATGTAACAACGCACTGGAGTGGTTGTTGGCGCAATGGTCAAAGTTGTGTCCACAATACCCGGCGCGATGCCTTTGGCTGCACGATGTCGAAAAAGCCCTCCTTCTGGGCCATCTGAAGCAGATGCACAAATATTGCACATTGAGTTGCTGTAGACACTAGCCATCATCGGTGCCTCCGCTTTCCAATCCTTATCGTCGTCTTGGATGATGCACAGACGGTCGATCCAAATGTACCGGACCCCAAAGTGACGGGCGACAAGTATGAAATCCTGAAAGGTCTGCGGTAAAGTTTTCATCGGCCAGCCAACTTGAAGGTCGTTAATATTTTCAGATAGCAGCAAATGCTCAGGGTTGGGTGCCCAGCGGTAACTCAGAGTCATATATTCCACCGGGGATGTTTTGTCCAAGTCCTTCGTTATTCGAAGCTTCCAGTCAGGTTCGCCTGGAATGCCAATGTCGACAAGGCGAGTCGGTAGCCATCCTGGTAGTGCAGTTGGGGGGCTTCGACATTTTCCATGGTTTGTTTTGCATCTCTTAAACCAGTCGAGAGCCTGGTTGAGCGATAAAGGGGAGGCAGTACTGCCTGCCAAGATCGTCGGAAACTCTGGTAAAGGGCTATCTATGTGGAAGTCTCAGCAACTGCATGCTTGAAATCGGTATGCAATCTACCTGCAAGGCGATTCAAATGAATCATGATATTCACGTCGACTGTGCCAGACCAGAAGTTTGGGTGTCGAAACGCCACAACAACTGTCTGATCCACGGTTTGAGCAAAGTCAACACGCATCTTATTGTTGTGCCGGAGGATTTGGAATTTGATTGGCTTCCAGATGGTGGCCCATACTTCTGGTGCAACTAAGAGATGGTCGTGATTCCATAATGTGGAGCAAATGAAGCAGTTGTTTGAAGCCGCCCTCCTGAAGCTCTCGAAGCTTTGGCCTTTGGGGGTAATGACCCATAGCTTTTCGACGTCATCAAAAAGAATGTGTTTTGATCGCAAGCCGTCTTCAGCTTGAATGACTTGCTTGCAGATCGAACATAGAAATGAAGTAGGATGTTCCATTGCACTACGAGCGGAAGTGGAAACTGACGAACACAGCTTTGTTGTGTTGATCTGCTCTTCGTGTACAGCAGATGAGTGATTATTCGACGGTGTGTCCCTGCGAATATGTGCTCTCATCACCTGACTTGCTGAGTCAGGATGACATCCACAAGAAACGAACCAACATTTCGTCTTCGTCGTTTTACAACGGCAAATGCAAGAGTAGACACGGCGATAAATCAAGATTAGAGGTCCTCGGGGAGTTCAGCAGCCACCGACACGTAATCCAAAGGTAATTCGAAGTCCTAGTTCAACAGTGCAAATCGGCTGGGACTCAAAACCAGTTACAATGTGATTAGATGTTTCCAGACCTGATGACTTGGATCAGAGACGCGGTTCGAAAATGCATAACATCAAGGTACTATCGACGACATCCCTTTTGCACATGTCCTTCAACACTACCGAATCAAATTCCAAGAGCCCTCTTGAGCCACAACCAGACTCCCGTCTCCTGACCCCAGGTGGCGCTGTTGAAAAGTCCACGAATGGCTCCATGCCTTGGCTCGTTTGTTGGGCGATCCCTCTTGTCATGGTGCATGGTGCTACTCTCTGAATCGGAGCCCGAACTGGCGGAAGTCTGCTTCATGGCTTCCACCTTTTCTTCGTATGCTTTCTCCATGGCCGCAATCGCTGGGAGGCCCCACTTCTTCATCCAATCTCCGTCCATGAGATCTTCTGCCTTGAGTCTGTCCTCTGGAAGCCAGCAGAAAATCTGCTCCAGCATAGACAACAGATCTTGCAACTCTCCAGGTGGAACTCTTTCATTCCCATCCCCATCTTCCCATATCCCACCCAGCTTCTCTGCTCTATCCTTGTCTATGAGCTGCAAAATCCGCTCCGAAAGACTGGTAGGGTCTCTGTGTGGAGGTATCTGGTTTTCGGGGCTTGAGCCGTCATCGTTGTTAGCGGAGTCGGCGGCCGCCTTCCAAATGTCCCTCCACCCTTTTGGGGGCTCGCCAAGAAGATGGACCATCTCGCCCCAAGCCTCATCGTACCCAGGAAAATACGTCTCGAGAAGGTCGATGCGCGCGTAGAGCTCCACCACAATGCAGCCTAGAGCCCACACATCTGCAGGAAACCCAATGGGCATATCCAACTTCTCCGCAACCATGGCTTCAGGAGCGCGAAACTTCTCTGGAATGTTGAGATCATGTCTATCGTGTTGATCGGGTCGCCATGATTCACCAAAGTCGCCAATTTTCAGCTTTGCATCCGAGAGTCGCAATTTGTGAGCGTGCTTGTCGTTGAAGTACATCTTGCCAACCAAGTAAGGCGGTGCATTCTCGGGGATTGGTTCGTCAAAGTCACTGGCCTTCTTGCAGATCTCCATTGGGTACTGCTTCGGCAGGTCGAATTTGGCGTAAATGTCCCGAACGCTACACTCCGCCAGCTCAGCATCGGGAAGAGTCAGCATTAGATTGCCGGTGTGTAAATCTAAATGCTTTGTTAGATAGTTTCTCCGGGGGTGAAATAAGTAGGTAGACTAGATGTTACCTACCACCGTGGACAATCCCTTTGGAATGCATAAAAGCAACCCCCTGGATGAGCTGAGCGACCAATGCTCGAGCGACTTGGAGGCGAAATAGCCAATATGGCTCGCTTCTGAACTTGCTTTGACCCAGATCGATACAGGTCGGGTCACTGACAAAACAACGATGAATTCCATTTGGACCTTGAATCGTGAAGGAGTCCAGACAAGGATGAATTACCCCTGCGCCAGGGTGATTTCCAGGATTAGCTCGCAGTCTTACAAGGATTCCAAGCTCGTCGGTAGTAAGGTCACGGCGTTCGCATTCATCCTGGGCGCAGGTGATTTTGATAGCAACCTTTCGACCCGAAACTTCGTCGTGTGCAAGCCACACGGTTGAAAATGATCCATTCCCCAATTTATTGATGATGGTGTATCTTCCATCAGAAAGCTGATCTCCCAGTTGAACTGGATGGAAAAAGCCCTTCTGATAAAACCAGTATCGTTCGTCAGGCTCTTCATCGTCGAAGAGAAGGAACTGCATCATGTTAAGATCTTGTTGAGAATATGGCTCACGAGCTGCCAACAAAGACATCATTGAATTCCTTTCGGAAGAGACATAGTTCGAGGTGGTAAACTGAGTATCTCCGGAAGTTTGACTTGATGGATATTTGGCCGCGACAGAAAGTGCGGAGCCCATTCTCGTGGAATTTCGTGGTGCGAAATGAACAACGTCGCAAGATGGATAACAAGAGAGAGACCACTGCAAGGTGTGGAAGGTCAGAGGGCCCTTAAAGGTTCCAGAGCATCGGATGGCTAGGATTTATGTGCCAAAGGTGTGTTTCAAAACCAGAACCATCGCAATCCGTAAGCGAATGGTTTTCAAAAACACAAAATAGCTGCAAGGGAGTTAGGCGCGTTGGAACAAAGAAAACTGTCAATGAGAAGACGCCGGTCGCGAATCAAAGCAGCGACAAGGAACGTCTCTGGCCAAGAGGAGAAATGCAATGCCTGAATGAAAGAATACCGGGAATGTACTACGGGAGAATACGTGGGTACTGCAGAAGGCTGGTCAGACGACATCATTATCCATTCAAGACATAAAGAAGGTAAAATTAGCGTCGCAATTTCCAGATATGTGTTCCTGTTTTGTATGGTGTGCTATTTTTGGTCTGCAAGATTCTTTCAACCACCTTCAGCCCAAGGACATACCGCATTTGTTGTCGTGACTTGATGACTTCGCCTTGCTCGACACAATCGCATTGTTTGAGATAATTTCTGGTCCACAAAAAGCAATAACCATGCAGCATGTATTATTAAATGGGCAGTAGTGTAGGTCGAAAACCACCGGACACTAGACAACAAAAGACAGCAAACAGCAAAAACCAAATAATTCCCGGCAGCAGGCCAGTCAACCGAACACGCCAACAAAACCATGACAACTGAGAACCCGAAACTTGGAATGGTGGAGGTCATTTGGAAGATCCGAATTCCATCAGATGATACTCACGCCACTGCACTGTTAGGTGCCCATTGGAAAACAGTCACTGGCAACCAGAGTACTGGATGTAACTCGATGCTGATTAGGTGAGCCTGAATTGCACACTGGGTCTATCAACTTGGCAAAAGACTGACTATACCTTAGGTCCGATCTTCACAATTCAACGAGAATGACTTTTCAAACAAGCAGATGTCCCGTCCGAAAGCCCGGATATATCAAGGACGAGTGGCATATAACCACTTCATTCAGAAACGGAAATGAGTTTACCACGGCTCATGGATATACAGCAGGAAAAGGAAACTACAATGTTCATCGAACAACAGTAACATGTCCAATGCCAGCTCCAATCACGGCCAGCCAAAAGGGATCCCGAGTATGGCCTTGGATCCCATTTACACACGACAATTGTTACACGAATCGTATTTGGACTCTCTCATTAGTAAGTGAAGCGAAGTTGAAGTCCAATTGGATCGCGATGTGTGTGTTTGGTGGAAAGCATTTATTGAATGGTCGGCGTTAGTGTGAAAGTGAAACAAAAAAGGTATGATTTGTATGGTCATAACGAGCTTAAGAAGTCCTCTCAAACAGCCGTCGCAAAATCTAACCTGTGGAGCGAGGACTTTGGTTTGATAAATTTGTGCCTTGATCGCCCAAGTCCATGGAAAGATACTTGCTCCCAGAAGAAAACTCAAAAGCAGGCACTTCTGAGTTCCTTCACGAAAGCGTACTCGCTGTCTCTGAGAGTAGATGAAATCAAACATTTTCAAATTACATAGTGTGAGCTTCCACGAGAAGCTCAATGCGCCCATTCTACGCAGGTTCAGGAATGCCTATATTTGTATACCGAGCTGAACTATGAGAGTATGGAAGGCAGGGGCTGGCGCCCGCCATATGATTTGTTTTGGTCTCAGTACAATTTCTTGCGCTCTCAATAATGAGACCGAATGGAGGGGAACGTTATCAATTACCCACATACGGAGTATTGAATATGACCATTGCGCGGGAACGCAAGTGAAGTTGCGAAAATTGAATCTCCGCTACTCTGCAGATGCCTTATCCCATTTCTATCGTACCACTCTGTCTGTTGGTAAACCATGACTTGCCTGACAACTGTGCAAATTTTACTTGAATCTAATGATTATTTCCAATGCATGTCTCAGCACGCGCTTAAACTGTTCGACTTGTCGAATTGCCACAGCCTACCGCATCATTCAACAATAGCCTCCTGTCTTCAAACAAACACAATATATTTACTTCCGCCACAGGCTGTGATAATGTCAGCATTGACGGATGCTTATCGACTTACCTCCAATTTCTGGGAGCCTTGGATCGTTTTGTTCTTCGCGATGCCCGCTGGTCTAGTTTCAGGTGTGAGAAATCCTTTACCAGAACGCTGTTCAGGTAGTCCACACTCAAGGACTCTGTCAGGCATGTGGAACTTGACGGCCACAGCTTCTTATCCCCTCTTTTCTTATCAAAAGGTGTGTTGGGGGTTACTGTTGAACTTACAACCTCATAGTTGTCCTTACCTTTTGTGTATCCATGTGCTGTGGAGAACGTGCGATCAGTGTCTGGCCATGAGGTTGTGACATGCCAGTCGTCAGGTACTGGTCCTGTTCTCGTCATTTTGGTGTTATGCAATCCGGACCTGGTGCCGCCGCAGTCAGTAAAACTGTTCCACACTAGTGAGTGCCAGGGATACTCACCGGATTACAACTGTCTTGACCTCGTCTGCTTTTCCATCATGGCCATGCAAAGCATTAAGCCAATGCGCTTTGAGTGCTAGTTCTGCCATATCTGGGCGTACTGGCTTGTCACACTTCCATATTACCTCAACGACACCCGCGGAATCGGAGTCTGATGAAGAGGGCGAGGACATTGTGCTAATGATGATGTGATTGGGGTATTGCTGGGCTGGCGTTTTGCTTTCTATTTCGTTACATCCTTCAGATCAACGCCTGAATTTGCGCATCTAGGGAGTCATTTTATGCGAAGGCGCCGATAGCAAGTCATGTTACTGAACATTATTTTCAGAATAGGTAACTTGGGAACGCGACACTGAGAGAACAGAGGCATTGTTCCCGCAAAACTTCCCTTTGAGGCGTTTCATTGGCCCCGACTGCAAAACAAATGGACTCGGTTTTGAAACAAATAGACGGACAGAAGTTCAGAAATGGCCCTTTGGACTCTGAAAGCTCCATTTTGTCTTTTTTATGTTGGCCATGTCGTCTGAATGCAGCAATATTTCAATGAAAGGAAAAGACTTGAAGCAAGGAGCTTCTTCCATTCATATCATTATGTCATAGTCAAAGGAAGGAAAACATCGTTGGATCCGCGTATCCCTAAGGTCCAAACTAAGGTGAAAGGAATTCAGCTCTTTATTAGACCAGGCATGTCCGGTCACGTCCAGCGAAGGTTGCCCGACAAATACATAAGCCCGGAGATCTCCCGCATGAACAACGTGGCTGTTTTTCCGGCAAATCAATTTTCTTGACTGATCGGGAACTATCACTTTACAAGCCAATCATTCTCTCTCACACCCACCATGGACGCAATCCCACACACCGAAGACACAGCCACATACATGATTGAGGTTGATGACTACAAATTTTACTGGGAGGCGGAGGACGAAGAGCGACCGCAGCACTACTTTCCTGGCAGCTACCATCCCGTCGAAATTGGTGACACATATTCCAATGGAAGATACACCATCGTCCACAAACTTGGGCACGGTGGTTACAGCACAGTCTGGCTAGCTCGCGATAACATTCAAGACCAATTCGTCGCACTAAAGATTATGGTCCCCGAGCAGCAATCACAGTCTAAGTTACAGAACTACGGCGTCGAAATCGAGCTTCTTCGTGAGCTTCATCAAATTCCCACGGGCCACCCCGGAAAATCGATGCTTATGTCTTGTCTGGACTCGTTCAGTCACGATGGACCCAACGGCACTCATCTCTGCTTCGTGAGTCTGCCCCATCGGATCAGCGTTGGCCAAAGCAGGCATGAGTCCCAAGGTAGTGGGACATTCAAAGTTCAAGTGGCACGGGCAATGGCTGCTCAAATGATCATTGTCTTGTCCTTTCTTCATGCGAATGGCGTGATACACGGAGGTAGGTAGAAATCACAAGGCTTACATCATGGCAGGCTGACCCTGAAACAGATTTTACTCCCAATAACGTTCTTCTTGCACCACCTGACCTGTCTGGTATGACAACTGATGAGCTCTACCGCAAATATGGAGAGCCATTCAAAGCAATGACGGAGCGCCATGGCGGGAAACCAGTTCCTCGAGGTGTTCCGCCGTATATCGTGCCGGAAGTTTGGTTTGGTGACCGAAGCACAGAATTGGAGCTTTGCAACGCCAAAGTTACTCTGACTGACTTAGGCGAGGCGTGGAGGCCAGCGCTTCGCTCACGATATCAGCTCAACATCCCAGACAAGTATTGCGCCCCGGAAGCAAATTTCGCCGAGAATGAAAACGTTCCACTGGGTTTTCCGTCGGATGTCTGGTCTCTAGGCGTAGGGATCTTCGAGTTGTTCGGCGGTAGTCTCTTCGAAGCGTCACCAGACCCAGATGACATGCTCGAAGATATGATTAATGCACTCGGAAAACCGCCGCAGAGATGGTGGGATTTGTGGGAAGGCAAGGAGGACTTCTTCAGTAGAGGGGAGGAATGGGATGAGAATGGGCACAGCCCGCAAATCACGCATGTTTTGCTCGAAGAAAGATTGCGGGTGTGGGTTGAACGCTACCAGAGGGGCAGCATGACGACGGAAGAGATAGAGGACCTGCACGAACTCGTCAAGCAGATTCTCCGCTGGGAACCTGAAGATCGACCTACCGCAGACGAGCTGCTTTGCGTACCCTGGATGAAGAGGTGGGGACTTCCTGCTCTGGACGCGATGTATGAGGCTCGCGGAGAGAAGCACAACATCATCGCGGAGATAGATTCTGTCAATCGGATGAGACAACCATCTGTGGGGCACGAAAACTTCACAACTACAAGCTATCTAACCGATTTACTTGGTTTCTCTATGCCTGAGATGGTAGTTTGTTGGTGGGAAAAGGCACGAGGGGTATTCCATTTTCCTGGGGCATAGGTTTGGTTATCATATGACTTGTGTGTGTTGCGTCATGGTTAGCATTGATTGAAATAAAGTTTGCTTCCATGTATTCTACTCCCACAATCTCTAATGTTATATCAGCATAATCGTTACATTATGGATCCATGTTTCATTGGAAGGCTCCCGTTTCCCGCACCGAACTGAGGGTAACAAACTCATAAAAGCTTTTAGGACTGCGGTTTGTTGAATCCAGCGCATGATTTTCAAAGAGCTTTGCATGAAAGGCCTCCTTCGAACAGTCGCTTGGATGGTGTTTTCCGTCTTTTTGATTTCTTCCAGCTGATGTTCAAACAGCGGCTGCAAGCGGAGAAGGATTTGGTTTCCCACAAACTTCACCTCACCCACCTTGGCTTCCCAACTTCACCCCTACGTCGTTTTTTCCTTAAATGTCTTCAAAGTATTCTAACTCTATTCTCGGCATTTGGTTGATGTCCTATTTCTTTCGTTCCAGAAAGATGGCCCCGAACTCCCCATGCCCCACTACCGAGGCAATGGACGTGTCCAGCGGCAGTTCTTGCCTTGTCGAAAAGAAAGCTGAAGTCCAATCGGCATCGTCGGAATCAAATATCGATTTCACCTTTGGGGAGACATGGACACAGGATTATTTAGACGAGCTGGATATCCTGGCCTGGAATGATGACGAGCCAGAAGAGTTCTACGCAAATTCCTTTCCAGAAGGGGGGCTGCATCCAGTCCGAATTGGGGATCAACTCGCCAATGGAAGATACACGATTTTCCACAAGCTTGGCCGCGGAAGCTTTGTAACTGTGTGGCTTGCGCGTGACGAGGAGGTGAATTGCAATGTCGCGATGAAGATCACCGGAGCTCATTTAACCAAGTCGTCAAACGAAGTCGATGTTCTCAAATTCATTGCAAGTAACGAAGTCCCTAGTGTCAGCCGCGAGTACCTGCAAATCCTTCTCAATCACTTTGTTCATCAGGGACCCAACGGCATTCATAGTTGTGTCGTCAGCAAACCAGCCTGGTTTACAGTTGCTCAAGGTCTTTTCTGCATGCAAAAGAGGCGATCTTTGCCCGTGGAGGTAGCCCGAGCCATTACAGGCCAGTTGATCACTGGCTTGGCTGCTTTGCATGCCATCGGCATTGTTCATGGAGGTGGGTACTGTCAACGAATTCGTCTGAAAGTCGCTAACTCTAATACTAGATTTGCATCCTGGCAATATCATACTGGCACATCCAGATCGGACATTCAAATCGCAAACCATTGAAGAAATATACAAATCATACTATCGGCCTACAAAGATTCCACTGCACTTGTACCAAGCAGCCACTCTCGAAAAGCCTCCGATCCCCGATAACGCGCCGCTATACATCGTCGCGAGTTTGTATGCCACTGACGGATTCGATGCCCTTGAGCTTTCGGATGCCGAGGTAATAATTGGTGACTTCGGTGAGTCATGGAGACTATCGTAGGAGACGAAGCACGAACTTACAACATGGCCTCCCTCTCGAGCACCCGAATCCTTGTTTGGGAAGAGACTCAACCTCAACATGGATCGACCTTCCGATATCTGGTCTCTCGGTTGTCTAATCTGCCGCCTCTTTGGGGTGAGGCCCATCTTAGATACGGCGCATCATGACCCTGAGGAGAACTTTGTGAGAGCGGTTAGAATGATTGGAAAGCCACCACAACAGTGGTGGGATCTGTCGGAGATGAAGGACGGGTTTAACCACAATGCCGGCAACGATAATGAAGCTCACGATGATTTGAACGAATACGGACCCATCGACGAAACCAAAGCATCATTGAGGCGTCGGGTCATGGTTTGGCTTAAGGAAGATCGCGGTTCTGATATGACGGACGAGGAGCTCGAAGACATGTTGGCTCTTCTAGAACCCATGTTTCACTGGCTTCCTAACGAAAGAACGACTGCTTCTGATCTGCTGTCCTCACCCTGGATGAAGAAGTGGGGACTGCCAGCCATGGAGTCCATGAAGAGAGAGCGGAAAGCGAAGAAAAAGGAGGGAACAATGATAAGCAGCTCGACACAGAGTCACCAAGCTTACGTCAATGGCGAGACTGGTACATGTATCTGTGAAGATTGAAATTAGGATAGAAGTCAAGCCGAACCCTGTATTGTTAGTGATAGCGCATTATGCACACTCAGGGCCACGGTAGACATCGCACTTCAAAAATCGCTAGTCTATCTCCTGCTTACCATTGGGAACTTCCAAGCAACAGTGGGCATATTAACATGAATAATTGCGTAGCCTGATACGAGCCAGCCCGTCACCTCACAACTAAATGTCGCCTCATATGCAGGTTTCCCTTGGTACAGGAATGGTGGGCTGTTCTATGGGCTGGCAGAAGTGCTCACGAGGAACGTTTGGAAAGCACGAAGTTTCACTGGCAAATCCAACGAAACCAACCGCAGGAGAGAGACTCACAATAAGCTTGTATAAGAATATAAATGACAATCGGACTTGATATAGTGGGTTGAAATGCAAGTACAGACAGTCAAAACGCCATGAGAACCAAGATTCAACCGCATCGAAGGCGCAGGGAAAGGCCACGTCAAAGCTATCAGAGACTGGGCCATTCTGCAGCCGAAATTCCTGGATGAACATTAATAAGCCCATTGAGGTATGCTTCACTGTAGATATCCATCTCATACTTAGTTGGATCTAAGGGCATTGTCGGCCATGTGAAGCGTTCGCTATTATTTGGCTTGGAAGAAAGATTGTCTGTCCGCGTGACGAAAAGAATAGTGAAGTCATCCAAGCTGGCCGTATAGCCATGGGACGTGCAATGTGTGTGATCGTTCTTCTTTCGCTTGTATGAGGTTGTCACATGAGGGGCCTTCTCGTGCCCGGGTGGATGTGAGCTAATTTGCCCTTGGCCTCTCTCCAAAACCAACGTAGAAGTGATGTGATTGCCAGATCTGCGCGACGTATCTATCAGCATTTCAGGAGATCAAAGCGAAGGTACGCGTATGATAACTGGTTACCTGATCACAATTGTTTCTGGTGGTACTCCGTTTTCGGAGTCGAGGGCAGTCTTCCAGTGTGCCCCGAGAAGTCTCTCAACATGGCGCTTCAAAGTTGGCCGATAACCTTTCCAGATGATCTCAATCTTTCTATTCTCTGTAGAGATGGCCAAATTGGCGAAGCTGGGATTCGATTCGTCAAGAAATTGAATAAAATATCACGCATCGATTGCTGCTCTTCAGTGTTTCCGTCGAGACTCGAGACCTCGCACTTCTCATATTTAAGTTATCTATCTCAAAATTATTTTCTACCTTCCTTTCAAAGATGGACACGTCTTTGTGACCGAACTTTCGGGGAAGACGGCATATCTCCTTGCTTTGCTTGTATGGTCAATAGTATGGAGGCAGTGTCGTCGGGCTGGATCATTGTCATCCATTTCCGAATCCGTCGAGATGAAGGGAAGCAGTGTGGTCCAAAATGGACCAGAAGATACACAGGAGAGGTTTGAGATACATCAAATTGAATGTCGTTTAGGCTTCCAAAGGGTATGAATATGCAGCGTGTCGTCCGGTGCCAAAGATTTGCATGCAGTAACGAATCTTCCCTTTGCGTCCCCCTGGTATGTTGTTTCCCAAGACTTCTTTCTCACTGTGAGACAGAAATAGAACAAACTTCAAATCGATTGAATGGCAATCAATACATTGAAAGAGAAAACACGGGCAGTCTGCGTATATTCACCCAGGCTCTTTGCCCCACAAAATAGCCGGAAACAAACAATCACTGAATGGCCTCACGTAAGGAAGGTGTTCACCCTTGCCCTTCCTTCCAACTATTATCTTCTTCTGAGATTTCGTCCAACCACATTCGAAACTTATGTCCTCTCACAACTGCACCTCCTTTCGAGATTCACAGGCCGCGTCTCTCCTCGAAGACGATCTCGTTCAATCCAATATCGTCTTTGCGATTGCCTCAACCAGTGCGACGATCATGAGCACTCCCGACAAGGTCACTGGAATGATTCCCGTCGCCGAATCCAATTCTGAAACCGCTGCTATTGAGCTTGTCGCCGCCAATCCCATATGGACCACAGATGAGTTAGAGCAGGCGGAAGGCATTCTATTCGATGCGCCTGAAGAGTATTTGAGCGATTACGCACAGGGCGGATTTCATCCTGTTCAACTTGGAGATCGACTGGAAGACGGCAGGTATATCGTTTTCCACAAGCTTGGGCATGGCGGATTCTCGACCGTCTGGCTTGCCCACGATGAGAAGTTGGGTCGCAACGTTGCCATCAAGATATTGAAGGCTGATGTAGCCGGATGGACCAGCGACGGGTGCAATTTTGGCCCTTCGGTGTTTGGCAAGCCTATTCACATTCAGAGCGACTCCTTCCGCCATGATGGTCCAAATGGCTCTCACTTGTGCTTCGTTAGCACCCCAGTCCGCACAACAGTCGCTCAAAGCCAAGCTGAGTGCCAACGCAGTCGATTATTTCCACTTGAGGCAGCGCGGGCCATCGTGGCACAAGTCATTCAAGGACTAGCGTCGCTGCATGGTTTCGGCATCGTTCATGGAGGTACGTTTGGGGAATTGATGACCGCAATCTCGCGCTGACACAGGTCTCAGACTTACACCCGGGCAACGTTTTTCTGAAGTTTAGAGATGATGAGATGGCTGACCGCAAGGTCTCTGACATCTATGCTGCCTATGGAATGCCCGAGAAGGTCCCTCTTCGCAAGTACCAGACTGCTGTTCTAGAGGGGAATCCGCCAGCTCCGGAAGGCCCCCCTTACATCGTTCGCAGGATTATTACGAACAGCGGATGCGACACTATTGCTATAGACAGAGCCAAAATTGCTATCGGTGACTTTGGAGAGTCATGGAGTCCTGGCATGACCACGAGATACGAGCTGGCTACACCGGCAGTCTATCGAGCCCCCGAGTCGAGAAATGCCAAAGAGAAGAATCTGCCCCTTGGATTCCCTTCAGACGTGTGGTCTCTTGGCTGCATCATCTATAACGTCTTCAGCTCCCGAACTGTGGTTGAATCCCTCGGCCCCAACTTCAACTACATGCGCGAGCAAATTTGCCACATGCTCCTCCAAGACCACGATTCCGATGACTTTGGCCCGCCGTTGAAGGAACGCGTTCTTGTCTGGTTGAAGAAAAATCGACGCGGAGATATATCGGATGAAGAGCTTCAAGACATCTATGAACTACTGAAGTGCGTTTTCTGCCTGGAGCCTGAGGACAGGATCACTGCTTCTCAATTGATGTGCGGTGACTGGATGAAGAAGTGGGGAGTCCCGGCATTGAAAGCCATGGAAGAGGCTTATGAAGCGGAATCCAAGCAGAGAGAATGAGCAAGACCTAACGCTGACAAACCTAGAACGAGGGAGTGTCTAACCAGGTCGAAAAAATAGGTGGAAAGTGAGGCTGGCAGGTGAAACAAGGGAAGAGGGGCCGTCGAAGGTACAGCCGAGAAGGCGAAGAATGAGGAGAAAGACCTTGATACTAAAGCCCATAAGGCGCAAAAAGATGCCAAGTAGAGCCTCTGAGTAATGATGGCATTTCAAATTTCTTCAACCTCTAAACAGGGACCAGGGCAAGCTGTATATAAATCCCGCGACCGAGTGTTTTATTGCGTTAAACGTTGATTCAGTGTGGTCAACATGCCAACCATGAATTACCGATGCAAGTTGTGTCCACATATGAAAGTATCTTTATATCAGTCCAAACCATCCAGTCGGCCTTCTACCACGACAAAATCTAGCTAGTACCACAGCCATAGTCTTGTCCCGAGCAACTGGGGCCCAAGTTTTCTCGAGGCCCTCTCTGGAAACAGGTTTGAGAGTTTCTACCCTGACTTTGAAATGCATCTTCTTTTGTCCATCCAAGCTCTCTGACTCTATACTTGTATGGATCCTTTCCACGGGGACTCTTGCTCCATCGACCGTGACCTCCAGCACCGGATTCTCCTGACCAGACGGGATGGTGTTCACGAAGCCATCAATAGTCACGTCGAATGAGCCGCTGCCGCCTCGAATAACCTCAAATTTCTCAACGACTAACCGGGGGCGAGGCGCCTTCGCATCTAGCAAGTGACCAAGCTGCACCACATCCGAGTCAAGGACAGGTGTATGAGGCGGCGGGATCCGGTGATGCGTCTTCGCCTCAAACGCATGCGCCCACTTCAGCAACTTGACATCATCATATGCTCTTCCAGCAAAAGTCAAGTTCATCGGGACGCCCTTATCCGCCAGGATACCCATCGGCACAGATACCGTCGGGATGCCCAAATGGCGAATGACTCTGTTGCCATTGCTGTAATGAACGCCATTTTGCCATGCTAGGTCCGCGCCCTCGAAGCTAGAGTCAGCATTGGCGGGGCCAACGTCTCCAGCCGCTGGGAAGACAACAAAGTCACAGCCGAGGCTTGTGAGCCAGTCTTCAAGAAGGACTTTGCGCATCCCTTCTAAAGCCTTAACAGCTATATCAAGCCCTTTGATGTCCGTGAGCCTGCCCTTGCCGATGTAATCAACGAGCTTGTGGTAGAGAATTGCGTTTGGCTTGTCAAAATGTCTCAGCTCAGGCTCTGTACGCAAAGAGCCAGGATAGATATTGAATGGGTCGACGGCAGCCAGATCCGGTATCTTCGGGTCCTTGAAGCTTTTGAGAAAGTCATTCCAGGCATGAGCGATGAGAGCACTCCTTTCCATGGAAACCCAGTCCTTTGGTCTTCTTGGGCAGCCCTCGGGCAGCAAGTCATCATTTTCGTAGGCTGTAACTGCAGGAAAGTCGTCAACCAAAAGGACTTCCGCACCAAGCGCCTCGAGGTCCTTTCTGGCTTTCTTCCAAAGATCGATAACCGCCGGGCTCGTCGTCACTGGTTTCGCTCCAGATGGAGCAGGACCGCCAAGGTACATTTCGGGAACAGCAATTCGCAAGCCTGCAAGGGACTTGCATCCAGCTAGCTCTCCGAAGGACCTCGGCTTCTCGTGCCATGCTTGCGGAAGCTTGATAAATGGCTGTTCTCGCCAGAAGTCCCCATTTTTGACTGGATCCTCCACGGCAATAACATCCAGAAGGGCAAACATGTCCTTCACTGTTCTCGTATGAGGAACAGGGACGTCGCATGTAGGGTATAGCGGCCAGCTGCCCCGCGGGGAGAGAAAATGCCGGGATGGTGTGTATGCAATGAGCGCATTGTTGCTGGCGGGTGATCTTCCAGATGACACCGTCTCGCCGCCGAGCCCAAAAGATGCAAACGACGCCGCGGTAGAGACCGCAGACCCGTTTGAGGAACCCGAGGCGAACCCAGCTGCGAGATAATCTGGGTTGTACGGGTTCTCCGCCCGTCCCCAAATGCCTCTCTGCATACCACCGCAGGCAACTGCAGGCATATTAGTCCTGCCCATTAAAATGCCACCTGCTTCCCGGATCTTCTCAACGAGAAATGCATCCTCGTTTGCGATGAGGTCCTTGAATGCGGGTGATCCAGCTGCAGCCACAAGCCCTTTAACTTTGTAGCTGTCCTTAACGGTGTAAGGTATGCCCTCAAGCGGTCGAACTGGAGCACCTGATGCGCGCCTGTCATCGGACTGGGCTGCTTCTTCAAATAGCTTGCTATTCAGGACCGGAATGGAGTTCAGTGCTGTGTTATGGCAATCGTATGTGCTTATGCGGCGTAAGTAGCGGGCCACCAGCTCAACGCTGGTTATCGAACCGGAGTTGAGAGCATTTTGTATGTCTTCGATTGAAGCCTCGACGAGGTTGAGTTGCGACATGTTGGGCTTGAGATCAGAAGGTTTGAGGCAGAAGACTTCTTAGCGTGCAGTGTCGGAAATCGACAAACTTCGGAGAGTCGTAACAGTTGCCCATAAGAGAGGGAAGAAAGTACGTCAAAACATGTCAGCAAGATGATAGGCAAATATCCCCCGCGGCGAACGGTTTGGCCTTGAAGGTGAATTTGCGGGGAAACTGATACGTAAGAGATAGCAATTGTCCCGGACGGCGTTGAAGCCGATAACAATACCGCTTCGGCGATTCAGGCCGTTGACTTCGATATCTGCCGATTACCATGCCCCGCTGAAGCCGCTAGCGGGTTCCCGAGCGCTAGCGAATGTCCGCCAACACAAGTACAGGGTCAAACATGCCTACCTTCACAATTGAGAGTCCCCATCGCGGCAGACATCGAGAAGGAAATTCAACTCAAGCGGCTGCTCAGACAACACCAACAGCCCAGTCAGAACATGAAAACACCACGACGTATGTCATAATGTCTCTATGCATCATTGCAGGATCTAGATGTAGCAGGATGTCTAGTAGCATCTATATTGTAGCAATATTTCGATCCGTCTTCCTGACGCGTGTAAGTTGATCATGGACAGTCATTCTCGGCCTCGGAAACGGACAGGGGCAGACGGCCGGGCGTAGGGCCCTGCCTCTTCCCGGCGCCGGTTCGCAGCCACCCTGTAGATCTCAGTCGTCCGGACCACACTATCTTGCACAGGGTCCTGCAGTACTTCCCGGTCGGCGTTTGACATCGGCTCTTGACCTTGGTGCGGGCCCTGAAGTCAGACTGTGATCCCGGTCTCGTGTGCGGCGAGACAGGTACGGAGCAGATGTGTCCGTGAGTCGATTTAATGGACCTGCCAAGGCAAGTCAGGTTGCTCCAAAACTTACCTAGTTACCAATTGGCGGAGGATCACCTATTGCAAACCATACGTCCGAAAAAAGTACCATTGGGGTCTCGACAAGTCGGCCGTCGAATGTCCAAGAAAGGAGACCCGTATCCATACCTATTCTCATTCAGTGCTGTGAAAAGGGTCGTGACCCACCGCATGGGCGTTGCCGAAATCGCTCTCGAAAACACGGATGTGCTGATTCTTGACGACGTCTACGGCCTCTTAATTGAACCAATATCTGTACATGAAATTTGTCTTCATGTCCTAGTCTACGGAATTGGGTCTGTAGTAGAAGCTAGGCGATGCATTAATCTGAAGTACATCTCAAAAACTCTTTTCGCTGAGAACCTATACTACAACGTACACAGGCACCAGCGAAGAGGCAAACTTGTGTGGGGGCGTCGGACTCAAAAAGAACTTTGGTAAGTTGCCTCTCCTGCTTTTGACGGGAGGAGTGGGGTAGATCCCTTGAACGAATCAAACGATGTCAGCAAAGACAGGCATTAGGTTGTCAAATTTTTATCAGATCGCGCCATGTCACGGTGGCAATTGGGCAGAATGCGGTCTTTTGCGGGCTCCCTCGTGTAAGATGCTTGGCTGCATTGGCTTGGTTCGTCCGGTTCAAATCCTTCGCCGGGATGTGCTTAGAGTTACCATTTCAAGACACCTTAATTACCCTCCCGCCGCTTCGATGAAATCTATGTAAAGGATGGGCAGCCCACGTTACGATTTTCCTTTGCTGCGGTCTTTCTTCACCTCTTCATTCTCTTTGCCGCCGTCGCCAGCCTAATCTTAAAGCCTTCTGGCCATAAGATCAACGAAGATGTCAACACCACCCGGAGGTCCAGCGGCCCATTCGAAAGCTGCCGACCGATTCCCGCCTTCGGTCTCTTCTGATGTCTCGCTTAGTCATGAACAGCATCTTGACGGGGACGGTAAATCCAGCGACTATCCCAAACCTGTATTCGACGCATCTCGCTCGGGTGCTGCTGATGATGGACACGCCGGTATCGGTGTCAGCAGAGTTGAAGCCTTCAACAAGGTCCTTTACCAGTCTGGGAAGTCCGGCAAGATCATTCTCTGGCTGCTGGGCATCTCCATCGGCTTGACCATGTTCGCCTATGCCCTTGACCAGGGCATCACTGGGACCATCTTCACCACCATGGCCAGCTCGACGTTCGGCCAGCACAGCTCGCTCGCCGCTGTCAGTACTGCTAGTCAGATCATCCGCGCGATCAGCAAGCCGTTCATCGGCAAGCTAGCCGACATTACCTCCCGCCCGACGACCTACGTTGTCATTCTTGTCTTCTACATTGTTGGCTTTGCCGTTGCGGCTAGTTCTAGCACCTTCGCTGCATACACCGTGGGCATCTGCTTCACCTCCGTGGGCAAGTCTGGCCTCGACCTCCTCAGCGATATCATCGTCGGTGACCTTACCCCGTTGCAGTGGAGAGGCTTCTTCGGCGCCGCCCTCTCGATCCCGTTCGTCGTCACTGTGCCTGTCAACGGCTTCATTGCGGAGGGCTTCGTTGATAATTGGCGATGGGGCTTGGGCATGTTCGCTATCGTGGTGCCTGTACTCCTTGTCCCGGCTATTTTCACCCTGTACTCCATGCAGCGACGAGGTGAGAAGATGGGCATGGTCACTATGGCTGCCTCGAAGCGTCTGAGGACCGGTGCCGCTGGGGACTCTGAGTCAGCGGGGCTGTCGTATTGGATGAAGTTGTTGGGCGAGGGGTTGATTGACATTGACATCTTCGGCCTCATCGTTCTTGGAACCGCGTTCTCGCTCATCCTGCTGCCCTTCACTCTCGCCGAGAGCGCTGACGGTGGTTGGGGTAGCCCGAAAATCATCGCTATGCTCGTTGTCGGCTTTGTTCTGCTTATCGGGTTCGTTCTCTTTGAGATGTACGTCTCTCCAAAGCCGTTCATGACGAAGCACATCCTCCAAAACCGCACGTTCCTCGCGGCGGCCGCGATCTACACATTCAACCAGATGGCCTCGGCAGTACGAAATACCTACTTCTCGTCGTATGTTTACATCATCAAGCAATGGTCTACTTACGAGTGGACCATTTTCTTGGGCATTACTACAATGGGACTCAGCATCATGGGGCCTATCGTTGGTCTCATCCAAAGATCCACCCACCGTTACAAGTCGATGATGGTCTTTGGCGCGGTGGCCAGGCTCATCGCCTACGGTCTGCTCGTTCAACCCAATGGCAATATGGTGCAGGACACGGCGAGACTAGTGATTGCGCAACTTCTTTACTGCTTGGGATCGTTCAACGTCGTTGGCGCGCGCGTGGGCAGTCAAGCATCAGTGCCGCATGAGGACATGGCCACGATCATCGCTGTGCTGACACTGTGGTCTACCTTGGGTTCATCAGTTGGCAGCGCCGTCTCATCCGCAATCTGGACGAGCGAGATGCTTGACCGCATGCGGAAGGAGATGCCCGATGTTGACAAGAAAACGCTTGCGAAGCTGTACGGGAACATCAAGAAGTTACGTAACACATACGACTTCAATGACCCCATCAGGCAGGGCGCTATCCGCGCCTATGCCCACGTCAACGGCCACATTGCTATTACCGCTCTTCTACTGGCTGCGGTCCCTCTGTTCGCCACTTTCTTCATGCCTGACTTTTACCTGGGCAAGCAACAGAACGCCGTTACGAACACGGGTCTTGACGGTGAGGCGGTCGATTTACCCCAGAGAGAGTTGAGAAATGAGGAGGCGTCTGGCACGGCACAAGAGCAGTCGAGACCTTTTTACTACAAGTGGCTTGCTGTTTATCGCAAAGATGCTTAATTTTGCGCCATGGCGAATTAGCTGGGAGCAAACCTGCCACAGCGCAAGCACTATAGTCGTAATACAAACGGAATCTCAGCCTCATAATTACTGCAGATCAGACGTGAAGGAGAACACCGGCGACATGTTGCAGGCCTACTTCCGCAACCCTCCCCCTCACAACCGTCACCTTCAATGCACGAATTGCTGAATGATTGATCTGCACACTGGCTATGTTTCTTCCGCGAGTCTCGTAAAATCTGGGATATTCTATTTCCTAAAGTCTCCATTACTCAAGACATCTTCTACCTCAAAGTCTGGCTGAAACTCTCGATACAAGCTGTCGGGGCTAGACGTCATCCTGAACGTGTACGCAGCAACGTTGTCCTCGATGATTCTTTTTGGTATGCCATTGGCAGCTGCGGCTTCGGCCAAAAGCTGAACTTGGCAACTCTTCTCCATGAGAGTAAACAGGTACGCTGCTTCATCGACCGTCTGGCCCACAGTCAATAGACCATGGGTCGTCAAAGTCATCACCTTTCCCTCTGGCCCCAAAGCCCCGGCCAGCCTTTTACCCTCCTCCTCATCAAACACCACTCCCCCAAAGTCCTCATAAACTGCCTGTGCCTTGCCGTAAAATATGCAAGCATCTTGATTGATCATCTCCAGCGGTCTACCGAAGGAGGACCAGGCCTTGCCGTATATGGTATGTGCATGACAAGCCGCGTTCACGTCGGGCCGCGCCTTGTGCAGAGCGCTGTGAATGAGGAAGCCAGCAGCGTTTGAAGGCAGACTCATGTTTCCGCCGATAGCGTTGCCATCGTAGTCGACTAGAATCATGTCCGAGGCTCGCATAAGCTGCCACGGACGACCGAGCGGGTTGGTCCAGAACATGTGCAGATTTTCGGGGTCGCGAACGGAGATGTGCCCAGCCATGCCCTCGTTGAAACCCTTGCGGGCGAAGATGCGGAATGTGGCGGCCATATGTTCGAGGATGTGCGTGCGGTGTTCATGGAAGGATGGGAAAGTCGGGATACCGGAGAGAGGTGTGCCTTGAGACAAAGCTTCAAGAGCCGTCTGACCTTCCTTCGCGTGAGGCTCCCAACTCTTTTTGTACCAGGGCGGCGTCGACGGTGGCGGGTACCATATCCGTGTTTGAGTGTGGTGCCATTATGGATATTTGGGACCAGCGAAATTATTCCCCAACTAGGCAGTGGTGTTCGTTAGGCAAAAGGTGAATCCCCCGAACTCTTTGCTATGGTTGGAAGAACGAAGGCATCGGCTGGGATTGAGCGATTTTCTGAGCTGGTGGAAGGTGCAGTGCCCGGGTTACATGTTGTTTGAAACTTGCAGACAATGAAGGCAGACACTCAAGCCTCGCTGTTCGTTTTCAAATATCAAAAGAGGTAATAGGAGACGATCTGATTACGAATAAAAATTACCTCAATCCTACAATGCGGAGCTTGACTCGGCCCCACTTATCGGAGCAAGTCGCCGGAAGTCTTCCGGAAGTCTCCCGGAAGTCTCCCGAGCTCGTTCCGAACCCATCTTAGGTGTCAACCGCCGTAGAAAGCGTTGAGAGACGGAATAATCCAGGCGAAAACTTTCAGTGTCCGCAAAAGAATGTCTACGAACAAAATTAGATAAGGGATGTTTGCTTATAGGACTAGTAAACGCCATCCCTGACGCTAACGCCATTGCCGATTGCTTGGTGCTGACTTGCAGCACAACCGCCGTTTGGCGACGGCACCTAAGCAGCGCTTGTGCAGCCACCCACCGCCAAAACCCCTCAATAACTATGCTGCCTGTCGCAAAGACTACTTTTCAGGATTCCAGATGATCAGAAAAGGACCTCGAAGCCCCCTTTATGGACATCTTCCTACAGCTAGCTGATCTTCCGGGCTACTAAGCGGTTGGAAGATGGCTTGGAACAGCCTAGGATCACCGGCTGAGGCTGAATGAAGGATCAAGCTTAAGCATTCTCTCCAAGCAACGAGGCTTTTGAACAGAGGCACCTCCATCTGCCGCTAGGACCGAGCACTAAAAGTAAAGCCTAGGCCGTAGAAGGGAGATCGAAAGTGCTATGCCTTGTCTCCAGATAATACAAAATATGTGGATTTCCCCTGAGACTGATCGCAGCCGAGAATGCTGTCTCAATATCACTCTTCTATTACCATCTCTCGGCCAGTATGGAGACTCCCTCCAACTACCCTCGACCATACTCAACCAGGCAGAGTGCCTACTCAGGAGAGGGGTGGGCCGAGCCCTCTGCAAAGCCCTTCTTGGACAGCACCACGAAAATTGCTGAAGTCAAGAGTCAATTCGATTATGATGAAGACGAACCTAAGCGGCGGTTATTTCCCGGACGCAGTAACAAGACGGGCCCCAAACCAGTCATTCGTGGAACAGCAAAACGATTCTTCCTGAGATGGCTTGTACATGCTCCAGCCATCGCCGTCACCTGTGGCATTATCTGGATCAGCCACATGCAACTGTTCTGGTACCCAGAGCACGGCGTCGAGCCTTTCAGCAACATTCACGTCAAGCTCAGCGCGACTGTCATCAGTAACTTGCTCCAGCTGGCATCCAAAATCCATGAGATGATGATCGTTGCATCTCTTGCTTCCATCTCTGTCGCCATGTTCAAGCGGAGACTTGTGGGAAAAGGCGTCCGCCTTGGCTTCCTTACCGGTGGATACCGAGTCGGCGACCTAGAGTACCTTCTGAGTGGTGCATTTTGGGAGCAGGGCAAGGGTGTCACATTGAACATCTGGGAGATTGGGCTGGTTGCCTACCTGGTCTTCGCGACTATCATGTCTACTGTCATTGGACCGGCTTCTGCGATTTTGCTGGTTCCGAGTCTTGGATGGTTCGACCTTGACGGTGCTTTCCAGGATGTTAGAATGCCGCTTAGCTACGGAGTTTCGCCGGAAGAAGCTTGGCCTCGAAGCCTGAATAGCTCTTTATTCGATTCTACACCAGAGTGCAACACCACCGAGGCACTCTATACATATTGGTGTCCGGTCGGCGGCTTTTCCGACATTTGGAACTGGGCGGAAGGATTCCGATACGCTGGACTGTCAGACAACATTACCTTCCAACATCCATCAACGGAGCTCCGCCGTCGTTTGTCTTTATCCGAACACGTCACTCAGAACGACGGATCCGTTTTGATGTTCACGACTCCGTCCAGTTCGATCATGACTACAATCGGACTTTTTGCCAACTACATTTCTCGGAAGCCAGTGCCTATCGGGACTGTTACGGACGCAAAGCGATACCAGCTCACGACTACGACACCATTGCAACAACCCTTTGTACACGGGAAGTGCGTCTTGTACGATCGCGATGAACTTCTCAAAGACAAGGCTCTCCCATCTTTCCCGGTCTCGGCGCTCAACTGCTACGGTGATGCTGGGTGTCTTCGCGTCCAGCAGGACAAGCCTACATTCAAGTCCAGGACATGGAACGATACGAGTGTCGCGCCTAGAATGACTTATAATCTCCACTACTACGACAAGAAATCCCCTGGCGGAGCGATGCTCATAGCCGGTACGATCCCTTACGTCGGTGACGGATCGAAACAAAGGCTGTGGGTTTACACATGCAGCTTTCTGCCGCGCTGGGTCCCTACGTATTTCACATTGGATTCTGGAGATTCCAGCATGCTCTCGTCCAACTTCAGCTCAGCGGAGGACATGACTGCAATGTTGCAGAATACCACGGCGCAGTCGGACAGGGTAGTACAGGCAGATCCCACTTGGGTCAGGCTCATTGACCCTGAGTTCAACATGACGCGGATGGTGCCGGGGAACTCAACCCCAAGCGTTTCGGCAACATCACCTATCAAATTGATCTTGAACCAGTTTCTGGATAGCCGAGAGCAGAATGGGACGAAATTCACGTACATGGACACGGTAGACGGGAATCAAAAGAGTACTGAAATCTTCTTGACTAAGGCTTTTGGTGTTTTTCTCACAGACAGTCTGGCAAGAACATCCTCTCACGAGAGAGCCGCTCTCATTCTCAGCGAGACAGACACCTCTATGAAGTGGATTGACCTCAAAGAGCAGATGGGCTACGAGTCGGGTATCCATAGAGTCGAGGTTCAGAACAACAAAACGTACCCATCCCTTTCTTACTGGAACAACTACACGGACCCGATGCCCCTTACGCTCACTGTTTCGGAGGTTGCCCAAGAATTCCGCAACACAGTCCAGATCGATTTCGAAACTCAGCGGTACGGATACGGATCTGGTCAATTTACCAAGACATTACAGTTTGCTCTGGTCATGATGTACATCTACCTTGCAGTCGTCGGCATCTGCGGCTTCACCATCTTCTCATCACATGCCACCGAACTCATCGGCCAGCTTATGGGTCGAAGACGGTTTCATCTTAGAAGTGTGGTTGGCTGGGGTGACTTGGCTGATTTGATGCTGCTGGCATTACGATCGAACCCGCCCGATGATGTAGAACTGAACCATGTTGGTGCGGGTGTTCGCAAGTCACCTGGAGTGTGGAACAAGGTTGTCAAGGTTCGGGTTGACGAAGACAACAAGGTGCAGATGGTACTACATGAGAGAAGGGGCATGAGTCCACCAAAACGAAATGTTTTATACTCGTAGCTATGGATAATAAGGCAAAGTTCCGAATAGCTCCCTGGCATAATAGTCATGCTACGATTGATTCCTCGGCCAAAATATACATCACGTAGTTCCTCATCTTTGTGGTATGTAACTTGGTTGGCCATCCAGAACGGACCCACTCATCGAACAGGGATCACGCTGTACCCGTACAGGTCGAGGTTGGTCTGGGCAAAGCCCTAGCCAGCTTTGCTCCATATTCACAAATCCGAAGCTCCCCGTCAACAATCACCGGTTCATCAGTTGGGTGTCTATGGAAGGGTGGCCGAGTTGGTTATGGCGCCAGGTTAAGGTCAGCTTAATATGTGTTTCCTGGTGGGGCAACCCGCGCGAGTTCGAGTCTCGTCCCTTTCAATTTCCTTTTGGTCGGTGTGAGAAATCTCTCACAATTTTTGATGCATCAAGATGATGTTCACTCCTCCTTTATTGTGGTGCTGTGTCGTCTAAGTTGCGACCCGCAAAGCATCTTTCTCTTCTTTTGCGCAAACAGGCAGTCAAGCTCTCTCTTTATCTACGAATTTGTATTGTCATTTCAACTTGGAATCTCGACCTAGCGTGTGTTGTCTTGAAACTACTATATCATCTGATATTCAAATTCTTCACCTCGGTGAGGAAATTAAGGTTGCCAGTGAGCCGCATGTTGCCGCGGCTCTAGTCCATCTACGTCAGGTGCCCGAGCGTGGCAGTGCATGCTGATCGGATCGCGTTAGTGCTGTGACACTTCATCGAGTCAGGGGGACGAGCGGCGTGGTGTAAATAAACCCCTCACGGGGGAGGCCGCCCAAGCTTAGCTATTTGCGACTCTTCCATCTCTTTACCACCACTTTTCAATATGTCCAATACGAACGGCTGTTTCGCTATTTAGAGTTGCCGGGCTAGCGAGGGCGTGCATCGGACCGGGTTGGAAGGGAAGTGCTGGAGACGTTGTCCCATAATACGCCAAAATCCGCCACCAAACAAATCTCCTAAACCATTCAGACAACATTCCGATACCGAATCTTTGACGTCAGATGGAAGAAGCCGAGGCCCCCCGGACCCCGGATCTCATCGACTGGACTCGACCGCTGTCACCATGGGGTGATGGAGACGCAGATGCGCTCGGCGCAAATGGCATCGAACCTGATTTAGAAGCTGAGAGGCACATTTCAGCGAGCGCTACAGGGAGCGTCAGTACAGAGATCCCGCCGTCAGCGTACTTCACAATTCATCGGTGAGGCTTACCGCATGTTGACGAGCGACTACACCGATGACTGACATATCCCGACAGAATTCGACGGCTCATCTTAGCAAGCATAGGTAAGTTCCTTTAACCATTAGGACTGAGAAGAACCTTGTTGACGTCGACTGCAAGATGACCCTTATACGTTGGATCAACTGCGAGAGCCGCGGATGAACTCGCTTGTCGTTCGCCCTCTTGTTGATAGACTGTATGATCCTGATGACCCCACAATCGGTACGGCCTTTTGCACTCACTTTGCATCTCATTCTCTGAGCTGACCTCAAGGTAGTCTATTGCCTACTGGCGAATCGCATCCAATTCTTGAGGCAACATACAAGTACAGCTCACCAGACTGTTAACGTGGCGCGCGCTGCACTCTGCGAACTGGTTGCAAGCCGCGTACTGCGCCGATACCATGAAGATCATCCAGGTGAAATCGGCCTTCTGATTCTTGCGCACGTCCTTGTCGAAGGCTTCGATCCCTTCCAAGGTGCGCCCGAAGAGGTGGAAAGCGAGTGCCGACAGCTTCAGTGGCCGATCCAGCGACGCGATGGACATGAGAGAAAGCTCACAGCCCTTGAGCTAGCCATCATATCCGAAAGCAAGGTTTTTTTAAGCTCTTCGGCATGTCAGAGACTGGTCGACGCCGTTTACCTAGGTGTTGTGACCTATACGCCCCTGTCGTTTGTCGACATCTTGCCCGATCACTACGAGTTCATCTCAGTCTCGCTCTATGAGCCACATCGAGCGCCAATACTAGACGAGAGGCGGATGCTAGTTCCTTGGATACGACGGGTCACTGAGTTTTGTCAGTTTGTGACTCTTGTAGCGCTGTACATGTTCACGATGATAAATCGCAGCAGCCCCACGTTAAGCGCATGGGAGTGCTTCTTCGCTATTTATACCGCCGGGTGGACCCTGAATGAGTTTGCGGCGATTATCGAGCACGGCTGGGCTGTTCACTCTCAGACTTTGTGGTCATTCCTTGACATCAGCTTTTGCTTCATCTTCAGCTGCTATTTATTCGCCAGGGTGTACGACGTGCTAGGGTATGGTGGAGTGATCGCGGATGGATATGGCGTACACATCCTCTGCGTAGCAGCCCCTATCCTCCTCACGAGAGTGGCCTTCACCATTATGCCCGACAACATCGTCTTTATAGCAATGCACGCCATGATGAAGGACTTCACTCTCCTGACGTTCATCTCCATCTGGTGTTTTGCGGGATTCCTCCTCGCTCTTCAGTGGCTCATCGGGAGCAACGCCGCCACTTCGGGAGTTGGAGACCAGGCATCTCTGACATGGTACGAGACGTGCAAGTGGCTCATTTGGACCTGGTTCGGTCTTGACGGTACCGGCATCGATCGGTCCCCCGATTTCCATCCAATACTTGGGCCCGCTCTAATGATTGCGTTCGCATTCCTTGGCAACATTCTCTTCCTGACCTTGCTTGTTGCCTTGTTGAGCAATACCTTTTCTAAGATTATCGCGGATGCGCCGGCAGAAATCCAATTCCGCCGAGCCGTCATCACCTTCGCCGGGGTGAAGAGCGACTCGATCTTCGCATACCCGCCACCATTCAACCTGCTGGCTCTTGCTGTGCTGCTGCCACTCAAGTCAGCACTCACATCTCGGTCTTTCCACAACCTCAACGTCACCCTCATCCGAGCACTCAACGCTCCGGCCTTACTTCTCATAAGCGCGCTCGAACGACGAAGGGTCGCGCATCCAGGACGGGCGCGCTCACAATCACTGCTGCATTGGAACTTCAGCGGCTTCAACCCCCATGGTGACATACAGGCAGTGTTCAAAGCGGAGCCTCCGCCTGCAGTGGAACGAGAGCTGGAGGAGATGGATAATCTGAGTGATGTGGGGTTTGCGGAGAGTGAGTTGGGTTCCAGAGTAGGGCCATGGGATGTCACCGGTCGGTCAAGGTCCAGACGGCGCCCCTACAGCAGAAGAAGACGTCCGGGGAGGATGACGTCGCCTATAAGCATCGTATTCCCCTTACCTAGCGTCAACCGCATGGGAACAAACGACTTCGAGCCCATGTCTGGGTCACCTGCGCGCCGTAGTCAGTTCTAGAGTGACACAAATAAAATAGCGACAAAGATTGTAAAACAACAAATCATTCACAATACGACTTTTCTTGAACATGAAATAGCAGGCCACGTTGACGTTCTCGGTAGCGTTGCAGGGTAAATGTTCTATGCCGTTTTCCGATCATCAGTCAATGGTGTAGTTGCCGCCTGAACCGAATGCGACCCTAATTGACAACAACCAGTTAGACTCAGCAACCCCCTTTCCCAACATCTACATGAAATCGACAGACAACGTAAGACTTTCTGATTACTCAAAACCCTCACTTGTTGATATTAGTTGCATAGCCATGGAGGACTTGAGGTCCCGTTCAGTGGGCTCAGAGAGGCCTGAGCAACTGTGTTTCCAAACGAAGATCCTGGTTTCTCGATATTGAGGGGGAGTTTCAGAAAGATCCACACGCTACCGACTCAACCGCCAAGCATTCAACTCAGTCCTGGCCCCAGGGGCACTAAGATGATCGATATAAACCAATCAATTAACCTTTCGTGAAACCATCTGATCGCACTCATCCGTGAATGAATCGGGTTTCTCGCGCCATGGATTCCGCGGGTGGGCAACGGACGGTGTTTTTCTCCTAACAATTTTTCCCGTGCACGCGTCAACATGTCTGTGGCTAACCGAGGCACACGATGTTGCCATGCAGTTTGCTTTTCGGGACTAGCCCATCTATGCCAGAACACCAAAAGAAAGGCCCACGCCATCTCATGATCACGGACGTGGCGTTCACGTAAGAGCCTGGTTGGTGGCATACGCGACTCTGCGTCCAACCGAGCAAACTTCTCCACCAATGGACTCGGGGATTCTGGAATTCAGCCGCCGCTGCGAAGCTTGACTCGCGAATTTTATCTCACGTTTATTTGCGTTTATGTACTTAAGCCAAGAGCCGCACAGTGGCTTTTGCAGTCCGCATACCAGGGGAGAAGGGGAAACCGAAAGAGGATTGTGCTTGGCATCATTTTGAGGGGGGAGACGCCGCCATTGGCGGAATGTTCCTCCATACGCTCCGTACGCACTGTCTCTGCACTCCGCATTTGCAGGGCTATCCATGTCCCAAATGCCGTGGCCCCAGCGGCGTAATTGGATACTACCCTATTGACAGCACTCAGATGAACCCAATTGAGCAGGGCGTAAGGATAGGCCCTCGAACGGATGTCGCGGAGGAAAAAGAATAGTACCAGATCGGCGGGTTGTGGAAGACTGGAACTCCCGGATGGCCGTTTAAATACCCGGGGGGCAAGATCTTCATGTCCATCTGATTTCTGATGGCAGTCTACCAATCTCACGTTCCTACTTTTACACTCTTTTAAAAATGGTTGCGCTACTCCCTGTTCTGGCCCTAGCCACTTTTGCCGCGGCTGTTCCTCTCGAAGTCGCCCTCGATGTTGGCACTGATGATTCTCGCAAATGCGGAGGTAAATACGCAGAGACCAGCCTCTCTGGAAAGGGAGTCATCGTCGACGCCTCGGGAAAGACAGAGAACAGCTTCCCGACTTTCAACCAGGCAGTTGCTGCCCTGACGAACACCACGGAGGAGCAGACAATCTTTGTCTACCCCGGCAACTACTCTGAACAGATTCGCATTCCCAACCATGCCGGCCCCATCACGATCCAGGGCTACACCTGCGACGGCCGCTCCTACGCAGCCAATCAAGCCACTTTGACCGGCAACCTCTCCCGCCAGATTGCCAACCTCACCAGCAACGACCAGACAGCCACCCTCCGCCTGTGGTCCGACAACATGAAGATCTACAACCTCAACATCGAGAACACCTTCGGTCAGGCTGACAAGCTCGGCCAAGCTCTCGCCGTCAGCGCGCAGGCGACCAATCTCGGATTCTACGCCTGCAAGCTCACCGGCTACCAGGACACCGTCTACGCCAACGAGGGCCGCCAGATCTACGCCAAGTCCTTCATCGAGGGCGCCGTCGACTTCGTCTTCGGTCTGAGGGCCATCGCCTGGTTCGAGAAGTGCGACATCAACACCATCGGCAAGGGATACATCACCGCCAACGGCCGCGACGCCGACAATAACACCTCCTTCTACGTCTTCAACAAGGCCAACGTCACCGGCACCAGCGGGCCCGCGTCCGTCACTCTCGGTCGTCCATGGAGGACGTTCGCCAGGGTTGTGTTCCAGGACAGCGAGTTGGGCGACGTGGTCAAGCCCGAGGGATGGTCCACCTGGGACAAAACCTCCCCGACGGATAACATCTACTTCAAGGAGTATAACAACGTTGGCCCCGGCGCTGCCGGTCCTAGAGCCAACTTCAGCTCAACTATTGAAAAGCCGGTCAAGGCTGATGACCTGTTTGGCAAGGACTTCAAGAAGGAGTGGTGGGTTGACTCTGAGTTTTTGTAGAAAGGGGTAGGGCTGTTTCCTTCTCTTCAAGTACATATTGAACAATTCAAATCATTCAATAACATCTGCGCTGGCCAGCAGCGCTGGCTGCAATAGCACAGGAGGCTTTTATTATGAAAAACCATGTATCGTGGATTCCTTTACGTGGAAAGGTATGCAAGCCACAGTCAGGCAGGAAGTTAATGTGAAAAGTGGAACGGGCGAAATCCGTCTACAGACATTTTTTCAACCCACAAGGGTGGGCAGGTTGATGTGCTCAAACTCAGTATTCCTGTTTCATGGTAAAGATCCGTGAGCAGGTTGTACTCGTAGTGTAATATATGGTTAGGATATCATTCAGCTGGACGGCACGGAACTGTGTGGTTCCTGTGGTACTTGACCTGTCCGTGCAAGCGTTTTGCTAGCTTTTCACATCTCCGACAGGATCGTCAATTCTTATAAGGCAGACTTCCAAGTATCTGCGGAACCCTTTTTCATTTGTGAGTCTTTCTCACAAATACGCTCCGAAAATAAATACTCGTCCACTTATTCATCCACATCACCTTTCTCCTCGCGACCCCGCAACACAAAATTACTAGCATTGATTTGCCTCCCAGAGCACACCCACGACAGACCTCGTCAGCATATATTCTCCTTGCGGAGAATCAGCATCTCCTTCAACGCAAAACAATCACGAAAATGACAAACCAAAAGGGCTGGATGGATCGAGCCTTTGTTATCACATGGAAATCCAGGAGCAAGTGATGATCGAAGAAGCGTACGACATACTATTAAGATGGTTGATTCTACCGCACAAAGCGGCCTTCGTACGACAGATGAGACGACTGGATGACCTAATGGGCCTGCCAAACTCTATGCGAATCCCAAGCGACCTCCAAGACGGTATGAGCGACCGCGGTTGTGTATATGGCGTCATTGGACTCATTCTCACCGGCCTCCTGTTCTGTATGATGGTGACAGCTGCCACATACAACCCTCTTGTTACATTCAACGACGCCCTGATTGTTCTCCTTTTGAGCTTTGCGTTTTGGGTTTTTATGGGCATTGCGGCTCGAATCGAAATGGAGGCACCCCGCATGCGGAACACAAGGCGAGATGATCGCGGAGTTGTAGGAAAACTTCATGTCAAATAAAGCCCTCCTGGACCAAAAGAATGTGGGATACATGGTCCCGTGAGTGCCGGAAGGGCACTGATCCCTAACGAGACCAAAATATCTGTCCAAGCTCCCTCTTGATGGAGCAGTTACAGAGCCCAGGCATACGTCATTCAAATATCGATATTATTATTCTTCCTAGCATTCCTCCGGAGTCGGTAATCATGCTTCCGTATATTGACTGCACCACTTCGCGGATGGTGCAGATAAATGCGCACGTTATCACAGACCAGTATGTGTGGCTGGGAGAAAGTGTGATCGCAGTGTCAGTTGAAAGATGATGGCGAAAGTCGGCACCTGGTCGCGGGTGAAGCCAGGTGTGCCGCAACATGCGGAGACTGTCCTTTTGGGATCATTACTCAGCAAGTCTGTGGTTGCCTAAATTCCGCCTCACAGCGCGTCAACACGCGTCGCCCTACGCGTGATCTTCCTCTCGTTGAAGAACTTGACTGTTTTTCGTGGTACTCATACCTCAAATCAATCACGCCTATTGACATCTTTCAAGACCTTCATAAAGCCTAAGTTTCAGCGAATCATCATGGATTCTTCTCAGCTCCAGGTTCATTCGTGTGCAATGTGCCCTCAGCTTGAGCTAGAACTTAATGTGGAACGTGGCACGCTCACACCTTTGTCATTCTTTCGAGTGTTTGAGTCTGCCATGAATGGATGCCTCTTCCTCGAGGAACGCTTGGAACGATTTATGTCGTATTTACTTTGGAACTACTCTGATAATGGTCGTCTATCTTGGAATATAGTTCCCTGGATGGAAGTCTTCCTGAATATTACGACATCCCTGGACCACGGTCGCTGTGTGATCTACTGCGACTGGAAATGGCCTGGTGGGTCCTGGGAACCTAAGACTGAAGACAGCCTCTTGGCGTTCACAAATACAGGTGCGTGTGTGCCTATTTCTTGTACAAGCGGTCCGCTCACATATCAAAACATGGAAGACAACGTCAGTGATATTTTCCGAACTCGACCGCCAAATCCATTTCCCTTCTCCGAAAGCAACATTCGTTGGTTACGAAATTGCCTAAGCACTTGTCGTAAGAACCATGATGTATGCAACCACCACAGGCACCAAGCGCAATCTTTCGGGCAACCGAGGTTCCTGCTGGATCTGACTTCCTGCGGTGATGGGCAAGTCAGTTTGATAGAGCTGGGAAAGGTTGTAGATTTTGCTATCTTAAGTTACTGTTGGGGTGAGAAGCCGCATTACACAACAACGTCAGAAAACCTGAAAGATCACCTAACTGGGTTTCCTCTGAATAATCTCCCCAGGACAATGTGCCATAAAAGTTACTCGAGCTTTGGGGCTGCAATATCTTTGGGTTGATGCGCTTTGTATACTTCAGGACCAAGACCAAGAGACCATCATAGACGAGGTTCGCACTGCTCACGAGTACTACGCCCGGGGAGCCATTGTCATCGGGGCTGCCTCAGCAAAACACAGCGATGTCGACTTCTTAGCGCCTCGAGATTTGCCGTATCGCGAGTATGAGCTTCCTGTTCGTCTGATACATGGAGACGATAGACCAACGTGTCGTCTTCGTCTCCTGGAGCGAGCATTTCACAAGAACCCAGAA